CGGCCTCAGTTTCCCTCCCTGGGTATGGGGCTGATGGAGGCATTTGGTGGGCATCCGATGCCTTGGCTGGCCGGTTCTGGCCTCTCTCTGCCAGCCCTCTCCCCACCACAGATGGCACATGAGTCGACAGTGGAGCACGGCCGCCTGGATGTGGGGGAGGCAGGCACAGCCCTGGCCCCCTGGCTGGCCCAGCACAGCCACCCCGGCCAGCAGGTGGGTGGCAGGGGACAGAAGCAGCTGGAGGCTCTAGGCATGGGAGTCCCAGCAGTGGCCCCCTGATGCCGGTGGGGTCCTGAGCCCACTGAGCCCCCCCACTTCTATCTCAGGTTGCTGGGGTCCCCCAGGACTCCAGTGGGGAGGAAGAGGATGATGGAGAAGCCTGAGCTCCCCCCAGCGCCACCAGCTGCTGAGCTGGCAGGTGCCACCCCCAGGACGGCGTTCGGTGACCCCAGACCACTTGCTCTGCCAGCAGCAGGCTGAAGCCACCCATGGTCACCCACCCCTCTAGTGGCCACAGGATGGCTGGTGGCCTTAGCCCATGGCCCAGGTCATGCCTCTGTCCCTGCAGTGGGGCCCTTCTCCTGGCTCCCAGCTCTGTCAGGAGAAGGGCCCCCCTGAGCTGCTTGTGCCCCCACTTTCACTCATGCCCCCCCCGGTGTCAGCTGCTTCTCACAACCCCCTCACTGCCAGCCTGGGGCTGCCCGGGAGCAGGCAGAGCTGGTAGCACCGCTGCTCCGGGTACCACTGGAAACCCCCTTTGCAGCGGCTGGTGGTCCCAGCAGCTGCTGCCCCCAGCTCAGGTGCCCCAGGCTCCAGGTGGAGGGAGGTGGATGTGGCTCAAGCATTGGAGGGTTCTGGAGGCAACTGCTGCTCCCTGGAAATCCCTTTTACCTGCTATTACTTTTCTATTTATAGAAGACACTCAAACTCCTGGCACCACAGAGACAGAAAATTGGCTATTTTAAAGGAAAACTATTTTGCCCTCGAGCCTGGGAAATGGGGGCAAAAGGCAGTTCCCAAACCCTCAGCCAGCACCCGGGGCAAGTGCAAGCCCCCGGGCAGAGTGTGGCAGCCCCAAGACACCCCTCACCACCTGTCAGCACCATCCTGCACCCCAGAGAAGGCCAGGCCTGCCATGCAGTCCACACCAGGACTTCCAGCTACTGCTCTCAAGCCTTCCTCCAGCATCGAGGTTTCTCAATAAAGATGCTGAGCCAATCCTGGTGGTGGCCATTTCAGGGGGAGGCAGAAGGGTGGGATGAGGCCAGCACTGCTGCTTGCTGGGCACAGCAGTGTGACGATAGGGCTCCCCACCTTCACGGCAGCCACATCTCCTTCCTCCTCACAGCAGTGAAGCCGGGCTGGGTCCCAGCTCCTCGTGCCGCTGCTTGCTCTGGGCAGCCCTTGAGGGAGCAGGAGAGGCTGCTGCAGGGCCCTGAGTGCACTAACGGGGCTCAGCTGAGCCCACCGGCCTGTCCCTGACCCCCAGCCATGCCCAGGGTGCACAAGCCCAGCCTGCTGCTTCCTGAGGGCTTCTGCACCCCCTGCAGGTGCCTCCTTAGGGCCCATGCGGGACCTGCTGGGCCCCGTTGGTACCCCAGCCCCTCCAGCCCCTTGCCAGTCTGGCACAGACACAGGCTCTGCACATGGGGACCAGCCAGATGCTGTCTGAGCAAGGCACAATGCAGCAGCTCTGGAGAAAATCCCTGGGGCTGGCACTTCTGAAAGAGTGGAAGGTGCCTGGAGCACTGCAGAGACTGACCGAGAGCATCCTACAGCAGGAAAATCGGGGCCTCATGTCACAGCAGAGGAGCCAAGGGCGGGCCCAGGGGAACAGCCCACGTCTCCAACCCCACACCTTGCCTGCTACATCTGGGTGCAAGCGTTTATACTTCTTAAACAGTACTTAGATATTTGCAATAGGTTTATTGGAATAGGCCACCCCTTCACATTCACATTTGGGAGGCAACAAGAGAAGTCGGGGAAGTGCATGCAAGGCAGCATGGGGGAAGCAAGCAGCCCAGGCCCCACCAGGAATCCTTCAGTTGTCCTCTGGGGGATACACACTCAACCCCTCCAGCTCCACCACCTCTGGCAAAGCCTTATTTTTCCGGAAAAAGAACTGAGTCTGCTCTTCAACATTCAGGATTTCACTGAGGGATGACACCACAGGGTCATGGTCCTTCAGCATCTCTGGATAGCAGCTCCCAAAGCGCTCTATCCGCAGTGAGCGCCGCACCGGTGTCAGGAATTTCAGCTCCGGGCCCTCTACCAACTCCTTTCCCCTGTGGACAGGACAAGAGTTTTTAGGTAAATCCTGCAGAGGAGAGCTGGCCCAGAGGGTGCTTGCTGTCAGGAGCGGGCAGCTCAGCCTTACCTGGCTGCAGACATAACTTGTAACTTGACTGAGACGGGCAGGCTGGTCATGGACCTCCCTGTCAGGCAGGGAGTCACCACCACGTGCTGCCTCTCACTTGGGCAAGGCGTTGCTGGCTCCCAAGGAACAGGCTGAGCAGCCTTTTCCCCTGATGGGAGAGGAAAAGGGCAACATGGTTGCAGAGAGGGCAGAGAGCAGCAGCCAAGAAGAGGTTACAACACTGCGAGGCTCGGACATGGGCAAGGGCGCTTTGCTGGGCCTGGACCATGCCCAGCCCTGGCAGAGGGACCTCGCCCCATTTTTGAGGTCAGGATTCTGGACTTTCACAACACTCAGTCTCCATCAAAGTCAACAGGGACATGGGGTGCTGGGACACACTGCAAACCATGCTGCTTCCCTGCCTGCAGCAGCAGGGAACCCCAGCCTGCCCACACTTTCAGACAGCCCCCCTGCCTCCACATTACCCTCTGATGTTTTGTCTGTAGCCTTCAAAATATCAAGGACAACTTCTCTGAGCTCCTGGAGTGGCTGCAGGGAAAGCAGAGAACAAATCAAGGTAGGTCTGACTTGGGAATGGAGACTAGAGTTACAACTGAATATGAGAAAAGGGTTTTCCTGCATTGTGACACCCTGTGCTGGAGCCAGTGGCAAAAGCTGCAGAATTTCCTTTCTCCAAGTCAGACCTCCCAGCACCCAGACATGGCTGGGCAGGCATCCACCCCGACTGGGTAAACCCCAGCAGATGCTGCAGTTATGCAGAGCTGCCATCATGCTGCTTCCAGCTAAAACTCTGACACAGTGCAGGGTGTGTGTGTCCTCCTCATCCTCCCCCGGCCCCGTTCGTGCCCGCATGGCACTGCCTGCTTGGCTGATTGGAGCCAAAGTTGTTTCCACGTGACAAAACTGGACTAGCAGCTCTAAAAGGCTTTTTTACCAGTGACTAGTGCTTCTAAACTCATCCCAAAATCCAACCCCTAGATCTTGAGGAAACAGGGGGGGTACAGAGACAGGGAGCTGCTGAAGAGAAGCGTGCCTCACTCACCACAGCACCAGCACAGACTGCAGCTCTGTACAACCCCATCACATCAAAAGGGCCACCGCGGGCCAGCAGTTTCACTTTGCAAATCCAGAACTTGGCGAATTTCTCTGCCTGGGGCACTTGGGACAACATTGCAGAGAGGTCCTCTGTCTTGGCACCCTACAAGAAGAAGGGCAATGTCCTGGAGAGAGATGTAATTGCAAGGGCCAGAGGTGTGCACTGGAGAAGCTGCTCTCCCAGCACTTCTCTAGGAAAAGGAGGGTCTGAAGAGTCTGGGTTTTGTCTCCTATGTGACCCTGGACAGGTAACAGCTTTTCTGCCTCTATTTTCCCCTTGGTAGAACAAGTCTAGAGGGGTGTTGAGGGATAGACTCTTCAGTGCTGGCATCAGCAGAGCCACTAAGTCCTGGCACAGTGCTGGTGCTCAGCATTGCTGGGATGATCCTCCCTGGCAGCTGTGAGGTCCACCAGGGACATACCTCTTGCTGGCTCCATCAGCCCGGGCTGCTGCTGCAGAAATTCCTGCTGCAGACCATGCTGCCAGGTACCAGGACACCAGCGAGGACCCATGCGAGCCCTGTGACTGGGTATTGCTCTGTTTTCCCCCTTAGCACAGCTCACTGTGTGCCTTTGGCCTCTATGTAACTCCACGGGGACTTTTACTTTCCCTACATACGATGTTACCCCTCTGGCAACTGCAGCCAAGGGAGCAAGAACGCTCCCAACACCTCGGTGCTGCTTGGGGACATGGCCCTCAACTGGTATGCTCCAGAAGAAGGTTCAAGCAGCTCCTTTCCCATTATCACCTCCTCAATGAGCTTCAGGCACTCAGTTAATATGTTGCTGGTCTCCTCCAGGCAGAGCTGCTCTGGTTTCTCTTGCTTCTCTTCCACCATGTCATTTCTCCAGGACAGTTTCAGTGGCTTCTTCTGGAGTAGTGTCATAGGTGGCCGCTTGTATGTCTTGCCTTTGGATGCCAACCACTCCTCCAGCTGTTTCCTGTCAAAGCACCAAGGGATAACTGTTAGCCACCCCAGCAGACTGTTGGAGAACGGCTTGCAGAGAGCAAGACCATGGGTCTCTGCAGCAGCTGATTGCAGCCATCAGAGGTAAACAAAGGAAAAAACCCAGGGTACAGTTATGCTAACAAAGGACTGTTATGTTAACAAAGAGAGAAACTGAGGTACACAATGGCCTTGAGTGTGATAGTAAACAACCTTGGGAAAGAAAGCAGGCCAGAAGAAGGAAGGTGTTGTGACATGCCTGAGATACCACAAGGGGCTGGGATATTATAATGTGGCCTTTTACATGTATCCACTAGATTTGTGAGTAGTATGCATGATTATTGTAGAGTGCATATATAATGTGTGATTTTTCAGTAAAGGTGAAGCTTGCTCTATCATTCACATTGAATCAGCTGCTTGCTTCCTCCGCATGCCGCAGCAGACAGCCACCACTTGCCAGACTACTCTTTTCCCTTGCAATTTCCCTCTAGCCAACTTCTGCTGCTTGGGAAGAAAAAGTATATCTATCCTAAAAACACATCTGAGCTCTCGGCTGGGAAAGGAAACCCCCTCAAGTTTAAGTGTGCCTTGAAGATAAAACAGGAGAGCAGCTGCACACTCTCCTCCCACGTGCTGAATGGGTGGGAGAAGAACCCAAGGTACCACCAAATGGCATCCCCACCCTGCTCTTCTCTGGGGTATCAACCTCCAACAGGCATTCACTGATAAGGGGACTTTGGACCCTGTTTTCAGCAGGTTGGTGCTGGTTCACCCAGTTAAACAGTTTAAACTCTGCTGTCCCCTGGAGGCAAGGTCAGAGTTGGCCAAAGCTGTTACTTACTTACGATCTGCAGCGGATGGGATCTTGGGAAAACGCCTAGTCTGTGTGCCGCTTGCCTTTGGCAGCTCTGACTTAAGCTTCTCTCTCCTACTTGTAAAATCAGTCTTAATTGCTTGAGTTTCAGAACTGTGTGTGCTGTGAGGGTGGTTTTGGGGGACTGTAGCTTGGGATGATGCTGTGCGTCCGACAGGTACCACCTTCACATCCTTCCTACCCGCCTCCCTGTTAGCCGCGGGCCTTTGCCCTTGCGTGGGGCCACATGGCTTCAGGCTGGGTTTCAGGTTTGTGGTCCCCTGGGGCCTGCTGGAGGCTGCAGGTTTTACAGGAGATCTTTTCATTTGGGGTGGTCTACTGTGGCACTTAAGATTTCCCCCTGGAAGCATGCCGAGTGGCTTTCCTACGGGTTGCCTTGCCGGATTAGTTTTTTCCTGGTTTGCCCCTGGTTTTTTATGTAGCAAATTAGTAGAAGCAGTAAGTAACAGAGGGGGCTGCAACAGCTCAGTTTTGACACTTGTTTTTTGAGATGTGCTTTTTGAGCCTGGCAGAGTTTTCCTGAATTTATCCTGAATAGGCTCTTCCTTAGCCTGACGGCTATTAATTCTGTCCTTTTGGCCTGTGATGGTTCTTGACATCCTGGCTGAGCTTTGCCTGTGACCCAAGAGTCTCTTGTTCCCAAGATTGTTTCCATCAGACTGAAAAACTGTGTTCAGCACAGGCTGTGTAGAGGCTTGTGCTTGGACGTTTTCTTTGTTGCAGCCTGTCCTGTCCTGCAGGCCCTCAGTTAGGGAGCAAGGTGCCCCAGGAGGGGAGTGGTCACTACTAGTCTGAGGTGCTGCAGCACTAACAGTCTCCTGTGCAGGCTTCTTGTTCATTGCTGGATTTTGGTGACCAGAGTTTGAAGTTGGGAGCCTTCCTCTGGCCTGTATAGTGTGGCTTGTTCTTGGCACAAGCCCCGTGGGAAGATTTGTCCTCTTTTTCAGCTGCTCAGGACGCACCACCACTGCTCTCTGGGAGGTACTTGAAGACTTCTGCTGAGCAGTGTGGCCAGCATGCTGTGTGGATTTGGCACCAAGCTTGCCAGCCCTTTGAACAACCTTCGCCGTGTTTCTGAGAGCATCCTTCTTGTTCCTGTCAACCTGGAGAGACAAAGTGAACCTCAAACTCTGAGGAGAGCTCAGCTTCCTCAAACCGTGGCAGCTGGCTCCTGCCCCAGCCCTGCTAGTCCAGGAGACATCCACGAGGGCCTGCAGTAACAAAGCAGCTGTCAACAAAATAATAACACAACACCCCCCAGCACATGGGCAGAGGATAAGTCTCCCATGCTAAGTTCTTCTGAAAAATAATTAGTTGACTTATTGACAACTATTTAGCAATCTGTTGACTGCACCCCATTTGGGGTTGGTGGAGGAGTCCATTAGACAGGAGTTAATGCAGACAGGTGGATTCAAGGCCAAAGGCAAAGCTAGCAAAAGAAGAAGTAGCTGTACAGATAGCAAAAAACAAACACCTGTGGTCAGCAAAAGCATACCAGTTTGAACAAAGCAAGATATGGGATAATGTAGTTTGGCAAGTTTGGGGCTTTTATATACAATTAACCAATACAAATGCCTGTAGAATTTAAATGTATTTAATACAATTAAATACAATTAACCAATGCAAATGCTTGTACAAGCACGTGGACAGCACGTGTAGATAGCATGCAGCCTATTAGAGGACAGATAAGTGTGTGTACAGAACTTGAGAGTACTATAAATGTAACCAGAATCAGAGAATAAAGGGGATCCATCTGATCATTGTATTAGTGTTATGTCATTCGTGAGCCTGCATGAGAAAATAAAAGACCCTGGCGGGGGTGGATAACAACCCTGGCAGGGTCGGGAACTCACTACCCTGATTTGGGTATCCTGTTCTGCTCAGACTCGCTTCAAGTGTGAAATACAAAACTAGACTCAAAAGATTTCTACTTACATGCCCTAGTTCAGAAGAGACTGGTTCTGCGGGTGGATTCAGGCAGTTAGTCTTGTCCTTTAAACAGGGTCTGTAGGAAACCAAACAATAGATCAGGTTATTTAACAGCTGTTGCATAAAAGGTGCAGTGCAGTGTTTAAACCTGCTGGGATCGGAGAGCACGTTGCCGTTGCCCTCCCCCACCCGCAGCCAGTCGGGCCCGGGCTAAAATAACAAGAAATTTAATACAACAGAGTGATAGAACAATCTGAACAACAACAGTAGCAATGATAACAACAATAAACAGCAATTACAGTGAACAAGACAAAAGATATACAGAGAAATACCGCTAGCTGGTTTACGGAAAGAAAGGTTCCCGCCACCGAGCCCAGTAAAAAAAAGGCTCCGCTCCTGGACCTGACGCCAGCATGGTATGAATAACCAGGCTGGAGATCCCTTCCCCTCTCTCTCTCTGCTGGGGAAACCTAACCCTATCCTAGCTGAACCAGGACAATATCTAAAATACTGCTGGGTGTCTCAGTCACAGGAGCTTATGAGAAGCTTTTGGAAATCAAAAAAGCTGTCAAGGAAGTACCATGTAATATTAATTCTTTTTCTTTCACATGACAACAGAAAAGCAACACAAACCACTGACATCCAGGTTTGTCACAAAACTTAGGGCTTCCACTGACAACAGAAGTGACCAAAATGGTTCCTGCAGGCAGGGGGGCCTGGCAGGCTACAAGAGGTCTGGAGGGTCCTGACACTGCTGCCCCAGCCACCACCCCACCTTGCCCCGCATGCTGCAGACAGCTGAGGCACAGCCGAGGCGGCTCCTGTCGTGCTGCAGGTCGCAGGGGTGTCTTGGGGCACATCAGCCAGGGTTTACCCCGCCATGGTGAGCTGCAGCACTGCAGCGTCTGAGGTGGGAGCCCCTCAGCGGCCCAGGCGGTGGCAGCAAAGCAGGGAGGTGGGGCAGCAGCCCTGGCTGTCAGCTCCACCCTGTCCTCCTCCTCCTCCTCCTCTCTGAATTGGAGCCCTCTGACAGCAACCAGCTGCAGGATTCTCCCACCCCTCCACTCGGGAGCTAGCAGCTCAGCCATTAAGGAAGATTAATGCCTGTGCAGATATTTTTCTGCAATGAAGGAGCCCAGAGAATTAGGGTATCGTCCTCTATTCTACACAAGTGGTGTACTCTGCCATAAAGAAAGCTCGTGAATCTTCTCTCCTTATTGCTATGTGGTGTTTTCCAGAGCCTGGCACCAGGGACTGGTTGGTTCTTTCTGGTCTCTGATCCTGCTTCCTTTTATCTTCTCCCCACGGAGAGGTTTTATGGCTTCCTTTGTGTTATAATGTCATGAGAAATACTGAAATGGGGAGTCTTTCAAGCGTTCAGATTTGTCAAGTGCATCAGCAGTTTTAATTAAAAGCTTTGCAGAAAGGTGTCTCACTACCTGCAGCCTGCGAGCTGCGTATCCACACACAGCCTGGCTCCAGAGGAACCGAGCGAGGCAGCGAAGGCGTCCCACAGCCAGGTAACTCACTTAACATTTCTTTTAAATACACTGAAAATGCCCCTTCCTAATATTAACCTATCCCAGAAGGCCACTGAAAGCTGCCATTAAAAAGCAGCAGCAAGACTTGAAACACCTTTTCTTCAAGACCCAGTTAGGAAGCTGAGTTATTGGATCTGTTCTGCCAGAGCTGAGATGAGAAAGTTTCATAGAGACTCAGAAAATATCCAGAAGAAACAATATCAACCAGCAGGAAACGTCAACACTCAAACCATGCTCCTGCTGCCAGTAACTCCAGAGAGTGCTGCTGGGGCACTGTGGGGGCAGAGCTGTCCCCAGTTGCTGCCTTGACAGCGGGATCCTGGCAGGAGGCAAATGTCTGTGCGTCAGTGAATCGCTGCAGAGAGAGGGCAGACACTGGCAAGCTGGGAAGTCAGCTTTACCTCAGAGAATCACTGAGTGATTTGGGTTGGAAGGAGCTTTTACAGATCCCAGAATCATTCAGGTTGCAAAAGCCCCTCGGGATCACTGAGTCCAACTCTCAACCCGACTCTACAAAGTTCTCCCCTACCCCACATCCCCCCACAGCTCAGCCCAACGTCCCTGAAACCCCCCCAGGGATGGGGACTCCCCCCTCCCCGGGCAGCCTGTTCTACTCTCGGACCACTCTTGCTGGGAAACATTTTCTCCTCATGGCCAGCCTGACCCTCCCCTGTTGCAGTTTAAAGCCAGATCATTTAGTCCAACCTCAGCATCCCCAGCATACTTTACACTCGAGCATTTCCGCTTTTCTTTGCCCACTAGGTCCTCTTGGAGCCATCTTCGCTCTCCTGTGAGGGGAAGGTAGGAAAATGCAGTGTACACATCACAATCTTGGTACTTGAAATATGGACAAGAATGGATTTCTTTTACATTCACAGCACTACCATATAGGTCTCCCGAACTCCCTGGCCGAGTCTGGCAATGCTGTTCCCAGCATCCCAGAGTATTTTCAGGAATGTGATACTCCCAAGGGGCTCATCGGCACACGGAGACCAGAACGCTCTGATGCTCACAGCATGATGCCACTCAGAACCTCAGTTGTGTGGGCCTTGGCCAGTTTGCAGAAGGAAAGGGGAGATGCTGCTGACAGCCCTGCCTTGGCTGAGACGGGGAATCTAAACAATCTTAGATTGATGGTGCAAGGCCTGCACAAAAACAAGGGGAGGCATATGGGACTGTTCGAAAAACACATACCAAATACTGATAATGTTGCTAGGCAATTATCTTCTAGCCCATAGAGAAGTCCCCCTTAGTCCTTGAAGAACAGACTACCCAAACCACCAGTATAAACTGGCCTGGGAGAAAGCCAGAGAACAACTGAGGCTGTGCAGAGCGACAGGGTGAAAAGTTCATCAGCGAGGAAGAAGAGGTACTTCATCTTTACGACCCCTCCCCAGGAGATTGCGACCCGAGATTGGAGAGCTCATCACACAGGCGCAAGAGGAGGAGACCTGTTCTCCGCAAAACACTGATCCCCTAAGCCTGTACCCTGCCGTGGCCAAGCCCTCTGCTAACACAGGCAAGCAGGAAAAGTGAGGAGCCTCTCAGCAGAGGGGACAGGGGACACCTCTGACAGCCCCTGTTTGGCTGCAGTACAGGGGCATCCCATGACCGGACAGCCTGGCCTGGCTGGAGCCCAGCACCACCCCGTCCCCAGGGCCTCACCCCTGCCCCATCCTCATCTGACAGCCCATGCCCAGGGCTCTGAGGGCATCTCAGTCCCTCCCCCCACCAGCCACCTGCCCCCCAAGCCACTCCCTTCCCTTGACACTGTGTCTCAAGGCTTCCACAGGGCCCCAAGAGCAGCGCAGCAACCATGGGTGCCCCCACTCTCCCCAGCACGCCAAGGCCCCCCACACCTCCTGCCCTCCCAAACCACATCAATACACCATTTCGTGCGTACCCCGTGTGCACCCTTTTGCGTACGCGATGCTCTCGCCCCCCGAGACCGCCCCAACGTTCCTCCCAGAGACCCAGAGGCCATCCAGTCCCTCCCTGCCCCCCTACTCCGCCGGGCCACCCAAGCCTGTCCCAGCTGACACCCAACGCAGCACCCCCCAGGTCACCTCCTGCCCCCCCAGCACCCCCCATTCCACGGGCACTCCCGACCGCCGCTGTCACCAGAGGGTCCCCACAGATCGGCCCCGGCCCACACACGGCGGTGCCCCCGCCCCACAGCGCCCTCCAACCCTCCACCCCATACCAGCCCCTGCTCCCATCACCCCCTACAGGCGCCCAGACCTCCCTCCACTCTCCCCCGACGTGCCCGCACCCACCAACACCCCCCACGGCACCCGCGGCTCCTCACCCTGCGCAGCCGCCCCTGCCTGCTCCATGCCAACCGCTCCCCTCAGCGCGGGCAACAGCCCACCCGCCGCTACTCCACACCGC